CCCAGGACACCCCCCCCCAGCTTTCCCTGTGCCGTGCCCAAAGCATTGTCACCCCCAGGCTGGGGACAGAACCCTGTCCCCGTCGGTGTCCCCCCCCCGGCACATTCCAGTCCAGTCCCAGTGAAGCAGCAGGTTCATCCCCTGGGGATGCAGGGACACGGCCCCCTCCCCACCCCTTGTGTCCCATTCCACCCCCACCCCACAACCCAAGCTTGTCCCCTTCCAGCGCAGTCTCCAGGACGCAGCAGGATTCATCCATCCCTGTTGTCCCCAGGGTCCCTCATTATTTGACGGGCTCCACAACCAGCACCTTGCACTCCCGCTTGGCAATCTTGTCCAGGGACAGCACTGTCTTCTCAGGGGGCAGGTAGAGGGGACGCCCCACGGGAGACCCCACTGGTGGGGTGATGGCACGTCGCTCCATCACGCTGCCTGACCTGGGGCATGGGGAGGCAAAGGGGGGCTGCCCCACGTCCCTTTCCCACGTCCCCATGGGGCTGGCTGTCCGTCCTCTCCCTGTGTTGTCCCCCTGGAGCTGTCTCCCGTCCCATGTCTGTCCCTCCCCCGGCCCTGGTGTCCTCATCCCCCCAGCCAGCCCCCCCAACCACATCCACCCTTGTCCTGGGTGTCCTCCCCTTCCCAGCTGTGCCCCAGCCCTGTCCCCTAGCGCGATGTCACCCTTCTGTGTGACACACGCACACGCCCCCCCTCAGCAAGCCCTGCTCTGATCCCACTGCCGTGCTCCTCTGGCTCCACACGTCCCTTCCAACTCCTCCATCCCACGTGTCCCTCTCTCCCAGGTCCCGCTGTCCCCCGGCCCTGTACCTCATTAGGTGGCTGCGGGATGGCTGCTGGTGGGAGAAGGACTGGGACCGGCCCAGCCCAGCCTGGTGCCGCTCCACCAGGGCCCGCACGGCCGGGCTGCTGGGGCTGCTCTTGCGCGACACGGGCCGGGCCTCAGGCGGTGGGTTGGCCACGCTGGCCGTGAACTGCAGCTTCAGCTTCATGTGCTGGGACAGCTGGGGACAGACAAGGGGACAGAGTGATGCTGGGTATCAGTGACACTCCAGGGTGGCCCCGGGGACCCCACCAAAGGGTGGCCTCACCTCGAAGAGGCCGGCCCGCAGTGCCTGGAAGGCCACGCGAATGGTGAGGGCGCTGCCCTTGCGCGAGTATCCCAGGTTGTTGAGCGGCGTGTGGCAGACAATGGCGTCCAGCGCTGCCTGCGTGGCCCGGCGTTCCTCCCCAGACAGTTTCTTCCCTGCAGGGACCATCGGCATGGTGAGGATGGGGACGGGACCGCCGGCCCCTGCCCGGCCACCTCCAGCACCTCCTGGCTACGCCTGTCCCATCCCATCCTCCTCTTCCTCATCCTCATCTGTCCCCTCTTTGCTGTACCCAGAGGCACCTCCAGCTCCTCTGATCCCCTCCCCGCCCTCTCGGTCCCCTGCTGGGTCCCGTCCCCTCTGTCCCCACCGGCCGTGGCGGTCTCGGGCGTCCAGACGAGGCGCACGGCCAGGAAGTCCTGGAGGTCGTTGAGCAGCGTGTAGGTGACAGTGAAGCGCTGCCTGGCCCGCACCGGGGACTCGCAGGCAGCCGTCATCACGAAGCGTGGCCGCTCCAGACGGATGCTTGGCAACCTGGGGACGTCAGGAGGTGTTGTAGTGACATGAGGACGGCCACCTGGAGCCCTGGGGACCCGGCATTAGAAAGGTGGGACAGCCCCACGGAGCCCTGAGGACGTGGGGGACAGGGACATGGGAAACAGCCACGTGGCAGCCCCGGGACATGAGATTAATGGCCCAAGCAGGGGCAGGGATATCTCTGAGTCCCTTTCCTTGGGGTAGGAGGACCTGGGGGTGCCTCCCCGCTGGGGACAGGGGACATCAAGGACCCTCAAGGCGGCTCTCACCGGTAATGCGTGTAGATGCTGCTGGTGAAGGGCAGTTTTGGCGTTGACCACTGGATCACAGCCACCAGTGGGACCTCCAAGCCCTGGTTGGGGGGGAAAATGGGTCAGAGATTCCCCTGTCACCACTGCTTCTAGCAAGGACAGTCCCCAACATCCCCACGTCCCCCTCAGCTCCACAGCAAGGACAAACACCCTGGGGCCCAAAAAGGACGGTCCCCCACAGCAAGGACAATGGCCCCACATCCCAGCCAGGGCGGTCTCTGCTGCCCTCAGGGCAGGACACGGACCCCAGGAGAAGGACAGCATCCCCCAGGCCACCAACTGGGACAGTGGCCCCTGATCCTGGCCCAGACAACACCTCCTGACTAGGACAGTCCCTGCCCAGCAGGTCCCCCAGTGTCCCCCCCCATGCCTGGTGTCGCCCCAGCCCTGAGGGTCCCCCCCGGTGTCCCCTCACCTCCTTGGCGTCCTCGGGCGGCCTCTCAGGTGCCTGGAGCTGGAAGAGGAAGTTGTGCTCCTCGAGGGCGCTGAGTGCACAGGGACAAGCCGAGCCGGCTCCAGCCACACGGCAGAAGGCGCCCACGGGCACCTCGCCCGAGTGGTGGCTGCGGGACAAGTTGTGGGGACAGCTCAGTCACAGTAGCAGTGCCCCCCAGAGTGGGACAAGGGACACGGCACGGCCCCGTCCTGAGGACGTCCCCCCACTGGGGGCAGGTGGAGGGCGGGGGGTGCGGGAGATGGCATGGCCATGCGCCCCCAACCCCAGGGACAGTGCCCCGACTGTCCCAGCACTTACCAGACGTCATCGACCAGCAGCACGGAGCCATCGGGCATGACGGGCAAGTAACTGGCGTTGAAGTTGGGCAGGATCTGCACGTCCCAGAGCGAGATCTCCTCCTGGGACCAGCCATTGAGGACTGGGGGACGGGGACATCAAGGGACAGCGCGGGGGATGCTGTGCTGGGCCCCGACCAGCCCATGTCTCATCCTCCCCTGCC